CAGAACATACAAAATACTATCATGGGTCCTCCACAGTTGTACTCATGCTATGTACCCACTTGAGAATGCCATCATTGGTCTACAACCTAAAAACAAAGTTAACTGGAATGATGAGCTAGTTGATCCCTTCAAAGCAGCACAAACCAAGCTCCATAACAACAAGCAAATAGTCCTTTCAAGAAGTGACGACCACCTCTGTATTGTAACAGATGGGTCTGTAAGCAAACACATTGTGAGCTCCACATTATATGTAGTGTGCAACCACAAGGTCCACCTTGCTGGTTTCTTCAATGCCAATCTTCACAAGTACCAAGTAACCTGGCTCCCTTGTGAGATTGAGTCACTAAGCATAACTGTGGCTATTAGACATTTCAGCTCATACATCACTTAATCAAACCATAAAGCATGTGTCCTAACAGACAGCAAACTCTGTGTCCAGATGACTGAGAAACTCGGTCAAGGATAATTCTCTGCTAGCACCAGATTAACCATGTTTCTGTCTACCATTAGTTGGTACCAAGTCAAACTACAGCACCTTACCGGAGGTGCTAATATCCCATCTGACTTTGCAAGTAGAAACACAATAGAGTTTAATGCGCTAGCATGCCAAATATGCAAATTCATCATGCAGACCAAAGACTGTTGTGCATGCTGTCATCTCATAAGACACCAGCTGCTACCTTTTGTAACACATTCCATATGGCTCAACATTCAAGCAGACTGCCCTGATTGAGTCAGACCCATACCCACCTAAAGCAAAGAACCATATCCTCAAAAAAACTCACCACCATCTGCAATATCAAGCATCATCTGAATGCAGCAACTATTGTGAGAGATGGGCTATGCCAAACTGATCCACCACTCCAACAATCCAAGGAACTGATCATAGTACCACACAGTGTACTGGGTGGTCTTGTCACTGCCCTTCATATCTGCACAGCCTGACAAATGTCACAGACTTACAAAAAGTACTGGGATCATCACCTATATTGAACATTTAATTCTACCTCAAATCACCTATGAGAGAACTACTAAAAATAAGCAGAATACAGGTGAACTAAAAGTCACCAAAAGTCCCTTCAAAAAATCAAAGACCTGATTTGCAAAGAGATGCTACTGACTTACTTTGATCCTGATAAACAAACTGTAATCCAGGTTGATGCATTCAACAAAGGCCTGGGTGTAGCTCATCTGCAGGATGGAAGGCCCATAGCATTTGCATCAAAATCCCTTACAGAAACATATCAGTGGTATGCTAATATTGAGCAGGAACTCCTAGCAGTTGTATTCAGATGTGAGTGTTATTGAACATACATCTATGGGTGTGCATTCCAAGTGGAAAGTGATCACAAGCCACAAGAAATGATCAACCTGAAAAACCTGATTGCAACCCCACCTCATCTCCAGTGATTGCTATATGGCTGCAAAGTAATAATATGACCATTTTCTATCACCCTGGCAAAGAAATTACACTAGCAGATGGATTGTCCAGACTCCCTAACATGAAAGTGAAAGAAGCAATTGATCTTGACATTAAAGTTAACTTTGTTCAATTCTCAGCAGAGAAGTTAGCACAACTACAACTGGCAACAAATGCTGACCCAACATTGTGCGAAATAAGGGACATGATTCTAAAAGGTTGGCCTGACAAGTTGGAAGGACATGTAGCCATACTGGCCATATCATGATGAGCTAACCATTGAAAATGAGATTTTGATCAAGGGTGATTGAATCATTGTCACACAGTCCATGCAACAAGAGGTACTGCACATGATCCACTATTGCCATCTAGGGATTGAGAAGTGCAAGCTAAGAGCAAAAAGCTGTGTGTTCTGGAACAACGTCAATAAATATCTTGACACGACAATTCAACTATGTGATACATGCCAAAAACACCAAAATATGCAGAGCACTGAATTCCTGATGCCATATGAGATCCTGGTAAGACCATGGCAAATGGTGGTCACTGATTTGTTTCATTTCAATGGATCCAACTTTATGTTGATTGCTGATTATGTTATATTCCATGCTAATAGGAATATATACTTGAAAAAAAAGGTGGATAAAATAAGTAAAGGTTTATTGTAAAAAACCAGTACAATAAAAATAAAGGTAATAGTTATGCACAAGGTCATCACAAGTCATTCTAGTAGTGAGTGCTACTATTTGATGGTTGGTAGTTCTCGCATAATTCTGAGTCATACTCAAAAGATCCCAGCTAGTATATTTAGCTACCCCCCCATGAGAGTTGCATGTGGCACAAGGCTGGTTTAAGGTGGGTTCTCTGAGCCTGTAGGCTCGGACAAAAATATTCCCTTTTTGAACCCACGTAAACAGGTTCAGGGTCAGTCTACCTCCCCGAACAAGACTCTGCCCTTCGGTGGAGCCTCATCCGGGTTCCTCTCTGCCTTCAGGCAGAGAGTTCGACCATCTAGCTGGAACAGATTCCAGCTAGTCTCTGTAGTCTGTTGACTTACAAATACTTATAGGTAGTTACTACCTATAGTGTAGTCACTCATGGGGATGACAGGTTATTCCATTACATCAGATTATTATTCCAAATAAACTTTTATATGGAGATTAAGTGAGTTCTCCAGCCAGGAGGTAATAAACCAAACCAAGGAATCCCAGACAGGGTGATCTACAACAGTGGTCCACATTTCAGCTCAGCACTATTTAAGCAGATTATGAAAGAATGGGGATTTGACCATTGCACTTCATCTCCACAATATCCACAAACAAATGACCTTGCAGAACATTTCACGCAGTCAATGAAATCTGCCATCAAGAACATTGACATGGTATTATTATGCCTCCAAGCAACTCTGATAGATCATACAATCCCTTCTCCAGGGGAACTCATATACAACAGAAAACTGGTTAGTAAAATTCCAGTAAAATGTGCCAACTACTTCATGCAAAAAGAGGAAATATCAGCCTGATTGTACTAGAGACAAGCTGGGCAAAAAACATGACCAGCACACAAAAGATCTCCCCAATCTTCAAATAGGACAGCATGTTAGAGTGCTCAGCAAGGATGCAGGTATATGGAAGACTCATCTCAAACCAAAACAAGTCATAAGGTATATCCACCTGAAACCCCTCAAAGATCAACCCTGGATCCTACACCAAGAGTAGAGACTAACTCACCACCAGATGGCCCAAGCCAACATGCCCCACATGAAATGCATGAAGCAAAGCTACTCTCTGGCACAACAACATGCATAAGAACCAGATTCAGCTGTATAATAAGGCCACCAACAAAATTCAATGAATAAGAACATTTAATCATTTTTTTCCCCTGTTTCTTTTTCTAAATTCTTTATAAAAAGAGGGATGTAATATTCCAATTATCTCCCCTTGCCTAGCTTGCCAATAAAGGAAGGCAGAAAATGGATTGGGGAGGAAGGAGGTGAAAAAGCATATGGTGAATTAAGCAAGCTGGCTAGACCCTAAGATGTGTGTTATATGTTTTCATTCCTCATAAAACTACTACACCACATCCCAACCGAGATAACAGTGACACCCAATTGGAAACCCAACTCTACAGTGAGACTGAAGCAAAGCCCCACCATGAACTACCTGTACCTTACTACAGAACACCACATGAAGTTGTAGATGATAATATATGTATCACTGCACCTGAAATACTCGCATCTCCACCTCTAGAGCATGCTGATAGTCCCAACATAATCCAAACTGAGACAACACACAAAAAGAGAGACCATTTCTCAATGCCCGCAACACACACAGAGACCCCAACCCACTTGAAAGACTATGTAGTGTACAGGATGGTCCGAAAGTCTTGTCACCCATCTATAATATAACAACACACTGTGGAGTATTATCAAGGAGAGAGTTTCACATGAACGATAGCAGAATAACCCATCAGTTGAAGGACACTGTTCAGAGAGCCTTTGCAGCAATCAACAAAGAATAGTTTGATAAAATATCACACTGGACATGGCATAGAATCATTTTGTGCCACAAAACTCATGGTGTTCATATAGACCTTCTCGATGTGTGACAGCATCAATGAAAGTGAATATAAACTAAATCCAGTACATGTACTTTGTATTACTTGTTCTCATTACTTTTTGGTATGGGGTGACAAGACTTTCAGACCACCCTTTACAACTAGGACTAATCTCTGTCTTTCCCCTGCCTCTCCCATCTAAAGTAGCAAAAAAAAAAAAAAGCTGCTGTACCAGTAATTACTTGCTCAACTCCTTAAGTTATCCTCTTTAATCATACCTTCCCTCTAGAGGTATACCTAACCCATAATTTTTGGCCACCACCACTTCAGATTTCTTCCTTGTACTGTGTGTGAATAGAGGCTTTGTTTCTGCTACTGTAACTTCTCTTGTGTTCATCTCTTCATTGGTGCTTATTGACTTGAAATTAAATAATCAAATTTTGAATGAATATTATTGCTTCTGACATCTTCCAGTTACTGAATCATTTCAGCCAAAATACAAGAAACTTGATATTTTGTTGATTGGCTAACTTTGCTCTTTTTATTTATTTGTTTTAAAAGATCAATATTAAAATTCAAATTTGCTTGTACTTTTGATCCATTTTTTGCACTGATTTGTGTCAGTTGTAAATCCTCCACTAAAAACCAAGTTCAACTTACCAATGATTTTATAGTTAGATTATGCTATGCTTTGACCCACACTACTTTGTGGTCAAACAAAATTATGTTGTTTATATTTGTGTAAAAATGAGAGTTTGAAATTGTAACCATTATAAAATAATAAAAAATGTAGTTATGAAATTTCTTCATTTTGCTATATTTTCACACATGCACAAATCTATGTTTAACTCACTTTTTTAAGATTAACAAATTCTTTTAGATGAATTGCCATTAAGAATCTTTTTTCTAATCAATCTCTAATATTATAATTTTAGCTATCTGATTGAAAATTCTCTTAACTCCCAAAATAGTAATACCCTCTTTATTTAATAGTCTTGTATTTACTATTATTTTATTTCTCAAGGTAATCCTACAAGTTTGATTATTCCAAGAGAAAAAGGTGGTTATATTGTATCACAAGGTTTGCAGTTGGCTCAGCTTGATTGGCAATCCAAACAACTAAAACCTATTTTGTCTGTGGACCTAGAAAAACCTAAAAACCGTTTCAATGATGGAAAATGTGACACTCTTGGAAGATTATGGGCAGGTAAGCAAACATTTTCTTTGTTTTATTTATAAAGCCAAGTTATCAAATGTTGTATTACACTAATCAACAGTTAGCACTCAACAATGAGAAGGAAATTCTTTTATTACTTTAAGAGCCATAAAAAAACCCACTCTTGTGGTTAGCCTGCTGCTTTTTTATTCTTTTTACAATGGTAACTAAAGTGTTCAGAGTAGAAAGAATTAAAAAGACCAATAGATAGAATCCTCATATTTAGAAACTTCTATCACCCAAGTAAAATAAATTTTCTTACTATGAGTGAAATTCACATAGTAGCCTTAAGATATTCAAGAAATACCATATGAAATAAGAAATACCAAAAATAAATGTCATTCATGTAGCTTTTTTACATAAAATTTGATATGTGTATTTAAATTTTTTTGAGATACAAGTACTGACTTTATTCAAACTATGTATAGTCACTGGATTTCTATAAATGTTTTTAAAAATTGATATTGTTGTTTGAAAAATAAATAACATGTATATTATGAATATAATTTATTTAAAAGTTTTAATAGCATTTGGCTATATTATCTGGTACATCATAAAATGGTTTTTACTTTTGTCTATTATTAATTGTTTAAAGTTGTTTTTATTTTTATTCAGTAGAACTTAAATAACTAGGACAGTTAAATGAAACAATAATTATTTTACCAAATCACTTTTTCAACAGCTGCAAATCATTTTAAATTATCTAAGAATTTACAGGTTTAGTACTTGAGTTATACTTGAAAGTCTTCTTTTCTATGTGCCATGTCCCTTCAGGCAATCATGGCTCTCCACAATTTCCTGTCCTTCATAGCTCTTAATAAATTTTGTCTTTTTGTTATTTCTCCTAAACCTTGTTCCACCATCCATTTACTCCACCTCACTAAGTAGGTTATGCATTGTTTTTCTCTATCCCTCTTGTCTTCAATGAGTCTTGTGATTATCAGATTCCCTCTTTCCTCATTATGTGCCCTAGAAATTACAACTATCTCTTCTTGATGTTAAGTATAATTTTCCTTTTTTTTCCATTTTTCTAAAACTTTGTTGTTGCTCACATGTTTGGTCCATGGTATTCTCAGTGTACTTCTGCAGAACCATGTTTCTGTTGATTCAAGTCTCTTCTTCATCTATGAGAAGATTGTCCAGCATTCACTTCCATTTAAGAGGACTGATATCATATAACAACTCAGTACTCTTTTCTTTGTTACTAATGAAATTTTTCTGTTTCTTAATACTTTGCTTAGCTTTTGGAATGCACTTTGGCTATCCCAATGCACCTACAGATTTCAGAATTGCACTTTCCGTCCTATGTTAAAACGATTCCCAGATTTGAGAAGGATATTAGAATAATCAAGAACCTATACTGGCAGCAAACTACCTGCATACAGATAGAAAATGAGTTCAGTAGATATACAAAAACACAAAAGAGTATAAGATAAGGATGTGTCATCTCACCAGACTTATTCAATCTATACAGTGAGGTGATTCTGAGAGTATTAGAAATTCTACCAGGATTCATTACTGGCAGCCATATTTTAACATAAGATATTCACATGACACAGTGTTGATAGCAGACATCAAGTGAAGTGAATTATCTATACAAAAACTACAGTAGGTAGTGAAGGAAAGCAAGAAGAAAGGATTAAACATCAACTTCAAGAAGACAGAATATATGGTTGTTAGCAAAAGGATGAACCCAACATGCAAATTACAAATGCTTGAAAGTATTTCTCAATAAAACAATAATTTTTCAATTTGTTTTCTTATAAGTCAATAACATTATCAGTGCTATCAAAAGTTTTAAATAAAGTTTATTTATTGTGTAATGTCTAGTAAGATATTGATGTTTTTTTCATTTAAATGCAAAATTATACTTTTCTTTACAGGAACCATGGGTTATGAAACATACCCAGGTGACATAGAGAAAGAAGTTGCCCATTTATACATGTTTGATAAAGAACAAAATTTGCATACCATTAAAGACAAAGTGAATATTTCAAATGGAATGGCATGGACAGCGGACAACAGAACATTTTTCTATACACATTCAATGCCCCGCAAGGTTTTTGCATATGACTTTGATTTGGTTTCTGGAAATATCTGTAAGTCCAAATTGAATCTTTGCTTATCAAAAAAAATAATCTTCTTGTTTACAGAAAACTTCAGCTGACCTAAAAGTTTGTGCTACTTGTAAGGAATATTAACTCGTTAATGTCCACCTTTCTGTATCAAATCCAGTATTAATTATAAAAATCAAAATCTGGTGTTATAAAATAAAAATAAAAATCTGGTATAAACTATAGGTTTCTACCTATAACATTCTGTGTAGGTAACATAATAGTGGCTCAGAAAAAGATATTGGTGGACCAAGCTCAAATTCTGGCTGAGTTCATTACATACACTTTCAAGCAAATACCCTACAGAAATGTATGAATCCATCTTTTCTCTCACCAGCTATGAGTTAAATAAACTGAGCTACATAGTTATGGTTGGCAATTAGTTTAGGAGAAGTACAATACCAGTTATGTAGCTCTAGTGAGGTACCGCACTAGAGCTACATAACTGGCATTGTACATCCAATGAAAATGAATATGGAGTTCACAACTGTGGTGTGGTACAGACTTGAAGAAATTATGATCTTGTCTGTTGTTGAATAAAAATTTAAAATAACTATAACCAATTAATACCTACAATATGGGTTTAGAATAAGTGAGAAAAAAGAAATTAATTTATTCAGTAAAAGATGGTACTATGTTTTTAGTCCCTTTTATCATATTATCTTTCTTATTTTTTAAAATTTTTTCATATTTTTTTTTAACTTTATGAAATACTTTATCAACTTCTAGATTATAGAAAATATCACCTGACCTAAAAGTTTGTGCAATTTGTAAAGAATATTAATGCCAACCATAAAATTTGACATTAATTATACAAATTAAAATAAAAATCTGGTATTTTAGATTTATAAAATAATCTGTTATTAATTATAAGTTGCTAAAAAATTTAGCATTAATTATAGGTTTCTACCTATAACCCATTAATACTAACTATATGATATACTTTTTAACTTTGAGAAATATGCATGGCAATCCTTATAAGGATCACCTTGGAAATATGTTATTTCACTGTTCCTTTTAGCCAACATTTAATTGACAAAGAGATAACACTTGATGGTCACCCGCAGAAAAGATATTCCTTGAATTTAGAACATCAGAAAAAATTAAATGGTTACAGTAATATTAGCTGTTTCTCTACATATGGCATTCATTGAATCAGCAGCCAGTATTGCTTTCGGTTGAAATTTATAAAATCTTTCTCTTAAAACAATTTTTCAGTGTTATCACTATATCAACTTACACCCCTTCTGGCTGAGTGGCACTTGATCCAAAAATTTTTTAGTTATCAATTTATTTTATTTCTTTTCAGTCAGTGGGTGGCAACATTGAAGATCTTACTTTGTAGATTTTATTGTCTACATAGCCATAAAAAATTGACATTCTTCAGACACAGATAAAATAATTCACATTCCACTTACTATAAACTCAAAGCCAATCATGTGGGAAACCAACTTTATCCCATAGAAAATAATTAGAAAAATAAATTTCATCCAACATATGCATATTCTTTTGCAATAAACACATTGATATGTATACTTGTTCACTTTATCTAAACATACATAATTCTATAATTTTTTATAGATAATATTTTATTTGTAACATTTTGTTTGCAACTTAAACATTGAACAGTTTTTTGTAGTTTGCTTATAACTGTAAACTCAACAGTGGCTGAAAAATTGAAAAGATTCTTGGAGTAGGCTTTAGCTGAAAATACAAGAGTAGTTTAAGAATTTAACTGGTTTTTGTAGTTTGGTTTTAACTGTAAATTCAACAGTGGCTTAAAAATCAAACAGTTTCTTGTAGTTTGGTTTTAACTGTGAATTCAACAGTGGCTTAAAAATTGAAAAGTTTCTTGGAGCTTGGCTTTAGTAGAAAATTGAACAGTTGCTTAAAAATTAAAAAGTTTTTAACTAAACAATTATCTTTGATAAGAGTAAAACATCCTGTTCTGCAGATTATTTTGTTTGTGCTTCAGATTGAGTGAACATATTCTGACGCAACCATCACACTCATTTTGCTCATCCCCAAAGTTTCCTCAAGGCAAGTTACACTGACAAAAATCTAGTACAGTGTTTCTTAAACTTAGACTGTCACCCATTAAGTCTTGCCAGGTAATTTTTAATGTCCACTTCCATGTTTTTTAAAAAAAATAACAAACAAGACAAATAAAAACTAATAATAAACTAATCAGTTTATTACATAATATTATATAAGCATAATAAAAGAGTAATATTAATTTCAAATTCATACTTATATTGGTAGGAAGAGAATTAACAGTTAATGAGAAGGCTGAGCTTGGTGATGCTTTATTATTGTGTTGATGTTTGACATTAGTTTTGTGATGACAAGTTATAAATCTATTCATTCAATAACTTTAAATCTATTTCTGTCATTAGTTAAAAAAAAAGAGAAAAAACTCTATCAAAACCTTGTTCTACTATATACTATATTGAAAATGACTGCAGTAATCTGTTCATAATTATCCATAGGGTGGGGTATCAAGTTGGAATTTCTTATTGCATCTAAAATTTTATATAAAATATTTTAAATCTCAGCTTTAATTCACTATCATTCTGAATATACATAGTCTATGTCAGCACCTAGAAAATTCTTACAAAAATCAAAATGATCATGTATTTCCCTGAAATTGTAACCTGTTAGTCTAAATCCACTGTTTTCAAGTTTTCTAATGAAATGGATTAATAAAGTAGTAGTAGATTCATTAAAAAAACTAATTTTTTGGGTTAATCCTTTTGTTACTGGTTTCATTATGTCAGAATTTATTTAAGCTAACAATTAACCAAATTTTTTTAATGAAATTGGCTAATGAAGCATTAATAGTTTCATTAAGATCTATGCCTTCTAAATTTTTGTTAATCTGTGATGATAGAAAAATAAATAAATGGAAATAATAACAAGAAGACCAAATTTTCACCATCTCTAAAAATAGATGGATAATCATGAATCACCAGGTTACAATGCCATATTTCAACCAACTAATTGCTTTTACAACAAGTATCTAAGAAAAAAAAATAATAACAAGGAGACCAAAATTTTACCATCTGTAAAAACAGATAGTTTGACCAACCAATCAGAAAGCTTTCAAAATCATGCAACAAGCCAGTGAGAAGCAGAGTACTGTTTTCAAAAAGAATCTATAGATGTGTATATAACCAAATGGAAAATCAGTCAAAACCAGAATCAATAAATAAATTGTGTGTTATTCTCTGATGCTGCAATTATCATAACATATCCAGAGATGAAATACAACATTTACATAACTAGCTGGTAACTTTAAATGGCTAAGCCATCTGGATACATTGAAAATGAACATATTTTCCTTCACCTACATCATTGATCAGTGGCTACTACATTTGGATACATGCATAGATAAATATATATTTACTTCCTCCCGGACTCTTTCTCTCTTTCTATGTCTTAAATGTACCAGGACTTTTACACTTGAACTCATAAAACTCTATTATTATATTATGTATATAAAGGTTTATTTTGTATTTATTAACACTGTGCATTTTCTTTTAATCATAACAGAAGGTCAGTATATATTCAAATCAATTATACTGATATGTGGTGGGAATGAACAACTCATCCATAACTGATAACCTTCCAAAACTTCATAAATCCATTTGTTAAACTGATACTCTGTGTCTTTTAAATTTTTTTTGTTAAAGTGTTATTGCTTTCATATATCATAATTTGTTTAAACTAACATTCTTATTAATGATCAACAGTTTGAATATTGCAATTATATAAGAGTGTATCTGAAGAATGCCCAACTTGAATAGTTATTTCAAATGTTAACATTTTCCTCATCCATAGCCAAAGAACGAGTGGTGGTTGACTTTACAGAGAAATCTATAGATGAATTTGGCATCCCAGATGGAATGACAATTGATTTGAATGACAAGATATGGTTGGCTTGTTATTTCAGTAGCAGAATATTTCAAATAGACCCTGAAACTGGTAAGTTTTCAACAATAAATAACTGATATAAACACATGTATGGTAGCATGAGAGAACCAAAAAAAGTACTGTTGGTGAGGCTAAAAGAAAAGACAATATTGTGAATATAAAATTCTTTGTATTGCTGATAGAGAAGATGTGAGAGGAATGTCTCTTTGTGGGCAAGGAAAGTGACTTAGAGGAAAGGCGTTGTTGACACATGTATCAGGTTGGTTGACTGAGGTCACTGGTGGTAACACTGATAGTGTGTCCATCTGCCACAACTCTCCAACATTGCTTTGGTAGTAACATTCGTGATTGGCTTCTTTTATATTGTAATTTATATTTTTTTGAGAGGAATTCTTTTGTGAGCAAGAAGTGATGCTTGGAACTGCTGTGCAGAAGATGACTTTTTTATTTTGGGTTTTGCTTTCATAGTATTCACATCTGGTCAACATGTAGAGTGAATCAGAAAGAGATCAAATTTGAAGCAGAGTATATGCATTCAATCTGTTGGCTAGCCAGCAATAGAGAGCAAATCATTTTTATATAGCTATTACATATGAAATGATAAATATAATATATAACCTTATAATAGCTGTTTTCAGGATATCAAAAATTTAGATCTGCCAGTTTTTAATAACACCAAAATATCAACTAATAAACATCCAGTACATTTATTGCTCTCTGTTACATTATATGCTATCATTAAATTATTATTATTATTTATTACTGGATATTATTAGTAATAAAATAGTTGGTGTTTGTCAAGGTGTTTGGATTGTTATTGTACACCTTTCTAATATTATTTTTGTTTCAGATTTCACCCCAATATGGTTTTAATTACCGAAGAACATATATTTCATTCATATTTGTAAAAGGGAAAATTGCTTACCTCCTGAAACAAAACATGCTTGTACATGTCTTGAGTGCAAAATAAGTGACAGAAAACATAGCTGAGCCAAAAGCTACAATTTAAGAACAACTTGATCTTGTAGCTCAGAGATTTTGAGAGACACAAATTTGCGGCTTATGCAAATTTCTGAGCCTCAGCCACTTGATAAAATGAGCATGAGTGAGTGAACATGAGAGAGGCAGTAGAGACTGACAAGACATGTGGCTGTGCTTTGTTTGTGGAGTTTTACGATATTCTCACCAATTGTGATTGAAAAGAAGACAAGGCATAACTGGTACTCTAAACAGCCATGCATTTTTTTCTACAATATTCTCCTCCTGTATTGAAACATGTCTGTTAATAAAACATAAGTGCATAATGACTTTCTGAACACCCTGTATCATGTCAATGATTCTATGAATAGAAATTTGGTGTGAGGAGGGAGTTATGCTATGCAACCATAAAATTAAGTGAATTCTGATGTGGTGAAAATGTTTAACCTAAAGATAATTTTATTATATGAATAATGTCTTAATCCTCAAGATTTGTGGCATTTCCATGAGTCCAGTCAATAGTATCCCCTGCTCAAATACCTTGTCTCTTTTTAACAATAAACTGAAACTCATTTTTCTCTTTACCACAGGTAAAATTCTCCAAACTATCAAGTTTGAAACCAGCAACATTACATCATGTTGCTTTGGTGGACCAAATTATGATGAGCTGTATGCAACATCTTCAACCATTGGCTTAACAGCTGAATCGCTTGCTAAACAACCTCTTGCTGGTTCCATCTTTAAAGTAAATAATATTAATGCAAAAGGTGTGCCAGGAATTGCTTACCAAGGTTAAGTGAATGTCTTCCCAGATTTTAAAAGTAAAATTAGATGGCATTATATTTTTCCAAGTTTCTTTAATTCTTCACTCCACATCACAATTACAAAATACACAATTATCAGATTTGTTTGTTGAATACAATAAAAATAACATCTTCTCTCATGGTCACTGGGAAATTTGACTTCTATTGAACACTCTTCAGAATCCAGTTTATTATTAGAAATAATTTCAAACATTTTCATTAGGAATTCTTTTTACTTCTAACTTTTCTAAGTGGTTATTTAGATATTTTAATTTCACTTAAATAAATATATTTTAATATATTTCTATGATTTGCATAATAAAAAAATACAAACATGATTAATTTCTTTTTCTTTTAATAAAAGTTTTTTGTAGTTAAATTTTATTGAAAATTCTGTATACACACTCTCATATTTTATGGTACATTATGACATTATTGTGACAGTGGTAGTATGAAATTAGGATTAAAAGAGTTCATTTTAAAACTCTGTATAGGAATTGGAGGATTTGAAGGGTTAGAAAAATCTTTAAAGTCATTAAGAGGAAAACATGAATTGAAATATGGAGCAAAGGAAAAAAGATAAATGTTTTTTTTTTTTTGATAAACTGATGGGCAAATAGAATTGTTATAAATCCTCAAAGCCAGTAATGTAAACAATCTAGAGTGTCGTCTTGAAAAATGGGCAGAAAATTATTTGGGTTGTGTTGGTAAATCAACAACAAAGGGAAGTCAGCAACAAAGATAATTCTTTGACATCAGAAAGATAGAAATAATTAATTGATATGAATATCGATGAGTCCTGATGTGTGGTAGGAGTCAGGCAAAATACATATAAACAGAGAACTTAGTTGAAGCCAGCAATCAGAGCAAGAACTGAGTCATCAGCAGATTAGGGAGCTGCTGAATCCCACATGACCTGCTGCCAACAGAATTCTCAACTGACAACCAAGTGATGTTGTTTTTAACCCACTCCAAGTTTTAGAAGAAAGAGATAAAGTGTCACAATAGAGAATTTAATGGTAAGAGTTAATTTTGTTGTATCAATGACTATATAAACCAATTGAAAATTAATTCAGCAATCTTCTTTATTAATTTGTTATGATATTTGTATTTTTGCCAGTGGAAGCATTCTTTGTCATTTTGTAGCACAGTATCAGCACTCAAGTATGGACGAAATTCAGTCTTCACTGCTCTGTGATCAAGGAACACAACGTGGAGCAGGGCAGATGAAGGAATGAAGCGGCCAGCAGATAACCATCAGTTGATCAGCGTCTGAAGGACACATGATGAAGCTGGGCTGGTTGTGTTATAATTGGTGACCAGTGACCAGGATAAGACCTTGTGTGTCATAATTAATGCCATGGCTAAGGGTGCAACCCAGGAGAAGCCAACAGAAACTTAGAATATCAAACTATGAACACAAAATAGTGTGATCAAATCGAGGAGAATGAAGAAGAAGGTCATTTTATTGAAGGAGTAGAACCAATGGACTCTAATCGTTTACACAACATGGGATAGGGCAGATGATGGAATGAAGTGGCCAGCAGAAACCATCAGTTGGCCAGCAGCAATACTGACCAGTGTGGAAAGGAATTGGCCGGGATAGCCTTGTTATACATAATACTCCCTCAATTACCAATTACTTTAATATTAGAGTATTATGAAATTGAGTAAGATAAGTATTATGAGTTTACAGTATCTGGGTAAATATTATCCAAACAGAAACTTTAACTTTACACAGAAGTACTAAGAGATATTTTTTTAATGAAAGAAATGGGAGATCTTATGCCATCTAAGAAATTATTTACATCAACATTGAAATTGAATTCTCCAGAGACAGAGACTGTTCTGACTAAAATTTAAGAGCAGGTCTGTTTTGCAATGTACGACATTCAGTCATCATCTTATGTCTACAAAGTTTTCTGAGACAGTTGGTGCAATACTTAATGTTTCAGATGTTCCCAAGAAACAAAATGAAAGGTTTATATTTTAAGTACCTAGCATGACCATGTTAATTAACTGTTCTAATTGGTAGTAAAAACAGTAGATTTTTAATGAATACAAGGAGATTTAAAAGAAAACTGATTAGGTCAGATTTTGATAAGTGAATCAAGCCAAGAACTTTTCGGCATCACCCTAGAGAGTATATTAGGCCATTGTTAGTAAATGCCAATTTGATCTTGGACACTAAACAAAAATAACCATATGAAGGTGGTGAATAAAAAAAAAAATCTAATAATTTTATTTTTATATAACCTCCCCCAATATTAAATTTTACAGATTTTTTTTGCTATATATCAAAAATAAAAGTGTAATAATAATCACTGACCAAAATTAAAATCAACAGTAAAATGTACTTTCAAGTTTTCACAAGCATTTTATGATGTGAAGTAATAAAGAAAAAGCGAATATGTCATTGTATTAAATTTATTAAAGAAAAATAGAAGCGTACAATGAGATTTTTTTACATTGAATAGAACTGACTGACCAAAAAGAACAAAAGCAATCCACGGCAGAAATCTTCATCCATGATGCTTCATTTTTCTTTTCTTTTTTTTAAATTGGCCAATAACAGCTTTTGACATGAAAATTAAATCCATTGGATGTAAAATAAATGTGCACCTACAGATAGAAGCCACTGAACTTTTTTCTAGGCAGACAAGAGCCTTCACATAAGACAGGACACATTAGTATAATTCAAATTCAAATGGCTCCAAACAAAGAAACCACTTAAAAGAAACGAATAACATAATAGAGAAGGCTTAATAAAAATTGTCAGGATAGCTTGGGTAAAGAAATCCAGCCACTTGTTCAAATTTGAGTCATCAGCTTTTCTTTGAACTGAGGAAACCTTCATGTCCCTAAATATTAAAAAAGAAAACAAAAATTTTAAGCACAGACAAAATTAAGACCCTATTATTGTTTTTATATTAAAGAGAGCAAGAAGGGACTAAGCATAAACTACAAGAAGACAAAATGCATAGTGATGAGCCTGAAATGTAATTTACAGGTCGGGAACACTAAAATCAAGCAGGTGTGAAAATTTAAATATCTGGGAAGTATTCTAACAGAGGACTGTAAGTGCAATGCTGAGATTTGAAAACATATTGGGATGGCCAAAGATGCATTCCAAAAGCTAAGCAGAGTATTATGAGACAGGAAGGTTTTGTTGATAACAAAGAAAAGAGTACTGAACTGCTATGTGATATCTGTCCTCCTTTACGGCAATGAATGTTGGACAGTCTCCTCAAAGATGAAAAAGAGACTCAAGGCAACAAAGGTATGGTTCTACAGAAGGATGCTAAGGATACCATGGACCGAACATGTGAGCAACAGTAAGGTTTTGTAGAAGATGCAAACAAAAAGGAAACCCATACTTAACATCAGGAAGAGACAGCTGAAATTTCTGGAGCCTGTAATGAGAAAGGAGGGCTTGGAAAATGGATAGAGGGAAAGAGGGACATGAGAAAACAATGTGTAACATACTTAATGGGCTTAAGCAAGTAGATAGCAGAACACGGTCTTGGAGAAATAACAAAAAGTCAAAGCTTATTGAAAGCTACAAGGGACAAAGAGAAATGGAGAGCCATGATCATCTACGTCCTGAAGGAAAATGGCACATAAAAGAAGAAGAAACTATTCAACATAAAAATCAAGTAAAAGGAATTTGATCATAACATTTTTTTTGTTTCCACCATTTCCTTCAAATGTTAGTTCAGAGGTATCATTGGTAACTAGGTATTAGGTTACTTTACACAAAGAAAACATCTCCTTTGTGCATGCTGTTCAAATTATTTTAACTCTTTTTAAATTTATCTCTTATTTCATTATTAACAATTTATTCTGTACTAGCAGTAGAGCCCAGCGTTGCCCGGGGATGTAACAGTAAGAGATAGATCAAGTATCGACCATCATAAAGACTGAAAAATAAAATTGACAAAGATTATTGTTTAAGGTTGACGGACACGCATGTCTTAATTATTTTTTTTTTTTTATTGGTCAAACCCAAATTCAAACAAAAAAACATTGTTTACAATCGTTATGAGTCTATCGATTGGTGAATAGAATTTTATTATAAACAATTGTCTTGTAAATGGAATTTTTAAACCATTCTGAATGTAAATAAAGAAAAAAAGTGTGCAAGACAATAAGAAATACTACCTGCCGGAAAAAAAAAAGTGGATGTTTGTTTTATCGGCTGAAAATGTAAGAAATCCGATTCCATATATAAAGGAACACACACACACACACACACAAAACAACCTGGGTTTTTAACCTAAGTCACTCCACAGAATCGCTAAAACATAGAGCATAGTCTGATGAAAAAGACGCCAAAGTTTATGAAAACAAAATTTTATCGTCAAAATGCTTATGTTTTTATGAAGAGGATAGACTAAATTTTTTTTAATTATTTTTTAAAAATTTTTCCATCTTTTTAGAATATTCTAAATTTTGATTTAAAAAACCTTGTTTCTCTTTGTCGCAACAAGGGGTAGTAAATAACATAGATAATTTTTAGTGTGTTTTTTTGTATTTACACACATTAATTTGGAAAATCTTGCAAAAATAAAAATAATTGTCAGATGTTAATGAAACTTTCAGAAACTATTCACAGATGATCGAAATTATTATAAATATGTTTTTTTTTTTTTTAAAGTCATGGCAGAAATATTTTTTTTTATATTTATTAACACCCCCATAACTAATTTTATGAAAAACTCTAGAAATTCAAGACCATCGGTTTTAGTGATTACAAAAAAGCACAAGGCTTTGAAGAATGCAAATCATGTTTTTTTTTTGTTTTTTGTTTTCTTTTTGGCCAACATGCTTGAAAATCAGCTGTGAATTGTAACATACAAAACTCAATAAAACAAATATATTATTTAGTTTCAAATGCTTTTATTTGTTTTAATTTGTTTTATGAATATGGACAATATTTTCTGAAAGCAAAAAATTTTTTCAATGAAAATTGAATTTTTAATACAATTATTTC